AACACACAAAACCAAAACAAATATCAGATTGTTCATTATAGTTTTTTTCAATGCATTTAATTTAGCAAAGTAGGTACTTACCTACACAAAGCACTCTTTCAGACAGCTTGAGTCTTTTATCTGAGACTTGACCTGTGCTCCACTGAAAACAAGTTCAAGAGGAGTGATGTCAACTTTGCCCCTGGACTGAATCACAGAATCACAAACTACAGTTTTTTACACATGGGATTTTGACCAGCTATGGTTATTCTTTTAAAATCATCAATGCGCTTGGATTTACTGATGTGTGGATTTTGATCTTTGAATAAAATGAAACCACTTGAGGCGTGGTTTGGTAATGGGTTAAATACTAAAGACCGACACGGGGGTAAGAAAAAAAAAGTGCTCTACATTTTTTTCATTGCAAAGAAGTTTTAAATATCTCATTCTAATTGAAAATGTAATTGATTTGCTTGCTTTTTAAGACTTTTATTTAGCCTTCGGTCAACTCTGAATGTAAAAAATACCCTACTTCAAAGAGACATCACAACAGCTTCAGCATAAAGACTTTACGCAGACTCTCTTTCGGCGGCTTACTGCTGTTTCTGACTAAACAGTTCGTAACAGTTGACCGGTTTATTATGAACATATGCAAGAAAAAATTACACTTGACCAGACACTCCCATGATTAACGTTTTCTTTTCTTTCTGCAGAGGACCAAGTGTTTACACATCAGGCAACAAAACTGATACTAATTGACTTTTTAAGAGCTGAAAACAAATGATAGAGTTGGGAACCACTTCTTTATATTCACAGTGCATTGAAACTACAAATTTCTTCATTCTTTCATAAATGTCTTCCAGACATAACAAAGAGCATTTCAGGTGCTTACCAGTATCAGAGTTCAGAGAATAAAAACCCTAAGCCATGATTCTCGTATCTTCTTTCAAGAAACGGTTGAAGGAAAAATGCATTTAAACCATGAAATGTTTTTAAGGAACTAAAAGTCATTTTTTCAAAGTAAAGAAGTACTGTTTAACTGTTATTGAAACTTGTAAGAGCTAATTTCCATCTTGCATTTTGCATATACTGTAGAGTGACATGCAGGAGACATACAGTAGGTGAATAAGGTGTTGCAGAAGGAAGAACAGGTCCTAGTTGTAACTGGAGACTCAGGGGGTGTGATATTATCAGGGTGAGTCAAGGCAAGGATTCATTATGGTTGCAAATCATTTACGTCTGAGTCTAATGAGATGCAGGGAAATATTTATGGAATTAAGTCTTGGTTCTTTTGTGGTTTCTTCAGTCAAAGAGCAGATGCAAAATTTGACTTGGAGATTTGGAGGAGTTCTGCGGAAAGACTGTTGTGACAGATTAGGTGATGAAATAATCATCTCCTGGTTTCAGCAGGAGATCCCTGTTAGGTGCTGCATGCCCAAAAATAACAGAAAGGTTGCAGGGGCAGGCCATTATAAAGAGTGGATAGTAAAAGCAGCAAGTATAGAATACTAAAAATAAGCAATTCATCCAATCTGTATGTATCCTTCCAGAGATCACTGATGGGTTTGGACACAGCATGGTAGAATGTAATACTGTATATTGTAACTAGTGCTGGAAAGGTGTCACAGACACTTGATATGTTTGCCTAGTTAAACAGAAGTGGATGAGATACGTTTTGCTCTTTTCCTAAATATTTTACTAAAACCTTGATTAAACATATTCCAATTAACCCTTGTGGGTAGAGCTCAGTCTTTCTGAAAACCATCTAAAAATGTGCACACGGTCAATAGAGTATTCATACATTACTCAGAAACCAGGTGGATGCTGTACATTGGTGGTGGTGGAAGGGAGTTCCCATTACCTTTAAAGTGCTCTGAGTGGGGTGTCCAGAAAAAGCACTATATACTGTAAATGTAAGGAATTATTCATTATTACTAGAATAAACTCCTATGATTAAAATAACAACAGCCAATAGTTTCAAGGCTGAAAATGTCTTCTTCAGAATCATCTGTAGATGTACACAAGGTAAGAGTAATGACTCTTCAAACCCAGTCTTGCACTTATTATTTTGAAATTATTATTAATTTTATGATTTTTTTTTTCCATTAAGGGCATTCAGACTTGTTATTGCATTTAAAAATCAATATAATTAATATAAACATATTTATTAGAATATATTGTATTGTATATAATAATATACATACTGTAATACTCTATGTTGTGGTAGGCCAGCTTATGATGCTGCTGTATTTAAAGTTGACCTGCCACTATATGCTGCTACTGCACATGGTCTCTAATTACATGTAATAGCTACACTAGAAGTTATTGGATAATCTCAGAGGGGTGGAATTAGGCTTTTATTTGGAATTTATAAGGTTTAAATGGATGTAGTGGTAGCTGATTTTTGAGTGCTTTTATTTCCGTTGTGAAACCTTGAAAAGCTTTAAAAATAGAACCTCCTGGACTTCACTTCTTGACCATCATGTGTTTTCGTGCATGCAAAACTTTGGGTAAACCAGTGTTAATATTGTGTAATGACACGGCAAGGTGAAAAAAGTTGCGTCCGACTCGGAGCTGACAAGCAGGACTCGGGCAACAGCGAGGTTGGGAAAATACCACAAGAAAAGTGCAAAATGGAGCTTAAATGAAAGAGAAAGACAAAATTAAGGGCGGCAAAATGGTAGTTGCAAAGAACAAAGAAAGCGCTGAATATAATTAAGTAAACGCAAAACCGTAGAAGGGACGGGACGAAAACTGGCCAAATATGACAAACCCCTGAGTGAGGGGCGAGGGAAGTATTTAAAGAAAATTGGCACAAATAATTAAATAATATATGAATTAGCTGCCCGCTGGGACGCTGGGAAAGTCTACCCGGAAGGTGTGCTGTCCTGCGTGCTGCCGCTAGACCAATCAACGCCGCTTTCTTCCAATTTGTGGGGGAGACGGAGCCTGTACCGGCAAGCAACGGGCACAAGGTAAAGTCCCTACATATGACATACTTAACACAAATACGCACCCTCACAAACGGATGGTTTTCCCAGAAAATAATTACCCCTCCAGTATCTTTTCACAGTGTGGGAAGAAACTCACAAACAGAGCACACCAGCATATAAATCCCACACAAGAGCACACCAGGTTCAGAATTAAACCAAGCGCACTAGCGCTACAAGCCAGCGACGCTAACCACTGCGCTACCATGCCGCCCGTTAAATATGTTATATAAATATAAATATTTTTAATATGGAATAAAAGCTTATCGACCCTCCCCATTTCTAGCAAAGGCTTTAAAAACAGGATAAAACATGACATGACTTCGTTCAAGTTTTAAAATTCACTGCTATCAACAAGAGCACTGAACTCATCAAGCTTGCATACTGTAACGCAACGGGGGCTCAGGCGGGCGCCCTTGCCGCATCAGGTCGGCCCCTGCACCGTCCGGGGCTCGAACCCGGGACTTCCGCGTCTCTCTGCAGCGACCTAGCCCCGTGAGCCAAAGAGAGATCTCTCCACAGCCCAGTAGCTGTGGTCCTGCTATCACAGGGAAGGGCGGTGACGTCACCCGCTCTGGTACGCCGGCTCTTACACACACTGCTTGTCGGCCGTAAGCGTTACAATACTGTATGTGTTGAGCCAAGAAGCAAAACTTCAGTCTTACCACAATTTAGCTTTGTTTTGTTGCACCCATATATTAATATCAGACATGGATCTCATAAGATGCAAAATGCAACATTAGTACTGTAGATGATTCATTTTGCAAGTCAACTGTCAACATAACAATGAAACTCAAGTCCTTGAGACAGCATAAAAAATAAAATTCCCACTGTTATGACTCTGCTGTGTGCAAGACAGTCATCTGGTCAGAATCCAAGAGCTAGGGATACTAGACTTTTGGAGGCTTCTGATGATGCCAGAGGAATTGAAGCTCTCTGGAAACATCCGGGTCTGCAGTATTGAGTGACAGAAGAAGCCGCAGTGGAGACTGGCAGAGATCAGGTAGTAACAGTAAGAGTCACAACAGAATCAGGCAGCAAACTAGCAATAGACTGACATTACCTTAGAAATCACAGCAGAGGCTGATGGCAGACTAGTAGTAGCCATTGCAGTTACTACAGAGTACAGTATGTGCACCTACTCCTGTAGGTGAAGGGTTTGCTCCACGGAGCCGGCCAAGCAGAACGCACATTGAGGAAGTGGACTGATCAAGCTGCCCACTCTCGGGGATGGGGGGTCTACTCCAGAAACCAGGCCAAACATGTTCTATCAGGGTGGACTACAGGAGAAGCGCCCTGGGTTGGGCAGAGCAGTGCAGTAACTGGCTGCCAGCTTGTATCAGACAGAAGTAAAAACAGCAGAGGTTGGCTGCTAATTAGTAGAGGCTGTAGCTATCACTGCGGGCTGATGCAGAGACTACCTGCCGGCTTGCAGCAGACCAGAATAGCTCTAGATGTTGCATAAGAGATGGACTGCTGAATGGTAGCAGACTGGTGAAGCTACGGCAGGCTAGTGTGGGGGAATAAAGAGTCTGCATTTGGAGCCAGAATGGACAGGAAGCTCATCATCCAAGCAGTCTGCGGGTAGTGCACCATGATTCAGGCTGATCAGGCCAGTGCGTGTTATCAGGGCGGACTTCAGAAGGCACCCTGACCCAGAACGAGCAGTGTGCAAGACCAGTTCCAGAAAGAGATGCAAGTGACACGATGCCAGTTTGTAGCGGACCAGATGGCTGTCTAAACCGCTGCATCTGGTGAAGGTACTGTATAAAGCCTGCAGTGCTCTGATGTAGTAATCAATTGCTGACTGGTAGAGGACTGTGTTGGCTTTAAAAGTCACAACAGAGACAGGCTGCCAATCTAAAGCAGGCCAGTGAGGCTGCAGAGGTCACAGTGGACCTGGTGAAACTGTAGGAACCACAGTAGGCTGGTGATGTTGAGTGGCTACAGGTTTACAGGGAGCTCCAAGCTAAAGTATGCTAGGTTCAGTGGATGGCAGGTCTAGATGGAAACCTGCAGAGCAGGACCTACAGTACTGCCACTGGGACCTTGCACAAAAAGATCTCACTCCACTGCTTGAAGTGGAGCAGTTGTTTCCACTGCTTCAGGAGAAGCTTCAGCTGACGGTTTTCTCTCTTTCTGAGCCTCCTGTTGGGAAACCAGTTACTCTCTCTGTAGCTCATCTCTCTTGATATCCATCCTTTAATTGCCATTTTCATGTCACACATGTAATGTCATTAGTTTCTCCCCAGATCTGGTGGTTTCAAAGGTGGCAGTGAGGCGCCATCACTACACATTGAGGCATCACCCAGATGGATTTTTAGAAACTAATGGTAAATGGTAAATGGTTTATCTCTGAAAAAAAAAGTGCTGCGACTGCTTTCTCTTGTGCCTGTACCCAGCTTACTTCAACCCTGCTTTGGACTGATTCCTGTGTAATGATCCTGGTTCGCTTCCTTGACTATGTCTGCGGATCACCCTTGTGCTTTTACCCTGTGACTTGCTAGCTTGGAGCCTGCTTGGAGCCCTACTTCATCTTTTAGCTACAGCTTTGGACTGCACTTCTCTGATTGCCTGTTTCACTGACTCACCTGTCTGCTCTGTTCTGCCCACTCACCTGCCTTCACCTGCACTAGGATTCATCATTCTGCAGTATTACACTGGTTACATAAGGATGGGAATTGTAAATAAATTCTTGCGCAACATGTAAACATTCAGTATTTGAATGAAAATTACAATATAATTCTATTTTTAATAGAATTATTTAATTTATTTCTTGAGGTGCCTCAAGCGATGGGGGATGCCAATACATGTGTTGGTGAACTTCTACCGCTGCACCATCGAGAGCATCCTCACCAACGGGATCACCGTGTGGTATGGCAACATCTCTTCGCGAGAAAGAAAGGCACTGCAGGGAATGGTCAATATGGCCCAGAAGATCATCGGCTGCGGTCTCACCGAGATTAAACAGCTCTATGAGGACCGCTGCCGTGGTAGAATTCTGGCCATCACAGAGGACAGTCACCACCCCGGGCATGAGCTCTTCACCCCACTGCCCTCAGGCAAGAGATATAAGAGCATACTGTACGGACACTTACCACTAGATTCTTCAATAGCTTCTATACACAAGCAGTGAGATTGGCGAACACATTTAGCCATCCCCCTCGGACCACACCTACACCATCACCATCTACCTCTTTATGATTTCTTATCTATTGCACATCTCCAGTCATTGTTTACGCGTCTGTATTGTTTTCATTCAAACTGTCTACATGCTTACTTGCACATTGTCTACTGTTTGTATATTGTCTTGATGCACTGTTTGCACTTTGTTTTGTTTTTTACACTTGTTTTACAATTGAGAGACTTTCTGTAAGTAAGAATTCCATTGTACCAGTACCGGTTACATATGGCAATAAAGTTCAAGTTCAAGTTAATTTCTCTAGCTCTTCCATTAAAAGATTTGTCTCAAGTAAAATGTCAAGAGCACAGTCATGCACACATATATTGTGTCTGTTTTAGTAATTTTACCAAACTGTGTAACTGTTTGTAAAGGTTCCTCAATCCAATGTAAAAAATATTGATGTACATTTAAGAAAAACATTTAGATAATATTGCTACACCACAACATAGATTTAGACAGGAAACCAAAATTATTCTGCAGCTAGGATCACACATTCTCCCTTCTCTTAACGACAGACTACTGTTCTTTTAAATTTTCTCCATTCATTGGAAGTTTCATTTCACACCTCTCTGCACCCATTCTGACTTCACACCTCTTGATTGGTCTCTCTTTCTGTCCCCTGCTCCCGCCTCTCACTCCTCCTCCCTCCCAACCTTTGTTCTCCCGCTACTTTACCTTTGCCTACTGCCCTGTCTCTCTCACACCTGAAGAAGGCTCCACGGCCGAAACGTTGTGTTCTCTTTCTTCTTTTTTTCAGCATGGAATAAACCTATTACTTGTTCCTTTGCAGCCTACGCATGCTGACACAGCTACCCACATAGATTTAGACAGGCATTTTATTTATGTAAGAGGAAATTATAGAGATATTTTAGCATTTATTTATCCTAAGGTTAAAAAATTATTCCAGCAGAGGGCTCTTTACCATTTTTTATGTCCTATATACAGTACATTATAATACATATTATTTGTAAAAATATTCCTTATGTATAATATACTGAATGAAGTCCTAAGAGGTTGGAAGATTGAGAAATATTCTTAATTTTTCTCTTTAATCACTATATTATTCATATTTTTCTTCCCTTGAGAAGTAAATGTATCTTACTTACAATATTGATCAAGCAACTATGTCTTATAGTTTGTGTATCTCTGTTTTTAATTAATGTGTGTTGTCAATGACAAGGATTTGATCACAAAGATGCCTTAACTCTCTTCATCTTTATAAGATCAGTTTAATTGCATCATGAACGTTAAAATACTGTGCAATTTTAATAGGGATGTATTTATTTAATTAGGGTTCAATGATTTGTTTCTGTCATTTTTTCCTGCTGGCAGTTCTTTTTATTAACTGCCTGGTTTTATTGAAACACACTGTTCCTTAAGGCCATATCTAATTTATGGTTTCTACTTGTTTATTAAGCCTTTTAGTAACCTGTCCTTCTAATTGAAGCCTGCTGTGCATTGCACTGAAACGTTTTCAACTGAAAACATGAGCTGAAAAATGAAAAAGAGGACTGTATTTAATACAGCATGGGCCTGAGCAGCTGTCTGTCAGGATGTCTTCATGTATAACTCCATCAGAACAGAAACTTAAAATGTATGTTAGACTTGTACAGTAAGTGAATATAATCATTATGGGTAGTAAAATCAGTAAGAGAAGCAATGTACATTAATAGTTCACAGTTGTAACTATAAGTTCCAAGATATGTCTTGATGCACAAAAGAAACTACATTAGGGGCTAATGGATATCATCTAATATTCTAAACATTGCGAGCACAAATACACATCAAAGAGCCATGCTAAGTTTTGAAAAAATTGCATATCAGGATTGACTTACAGGAAACCTGTCGACTTGAGAATTTCTTCCATCTATCCCTGAAAAGCAATTTGGTTTCAGTCTGTAGCAAATGTATTATTGTGTGTTAAGGGCAATAATGTAGGGAAGAACCTCATGTCTACCGACCCAGCAGCTAGCTTGGAGAATGCACATTGTCTATGAACAGGATAGTCATTGGCAAAGGAAACAATCTTCTCCTTGTTGCCACATTAGATGGTCTCTGGTCACAGAGGATGGCAATTTAATCTTTAAGCTATTATCATATAAACAATGAATGTTCTCTAACTTTCAAAACAATATGTGTAATGTATGGAGATTCATTTTTTGTAGATAGAGAGCTTCAGCCATTATTCCAATGTACAGGTTACTAAAATCTCTCATGCTGGCACAGCAGAAATATCTCATGCTGCTTATGCAGGTAGATCAGGGACAGTGTAGTGACCCTCTGCCTTCCAGGATACGGTCTGTCCCACACAGCACCATTTTCTTGGTTTCCCTAGACTGTATTGCTGATTGCTGTATTGTTGAAGTAGAATATTGAATTCTCTGGTTAAATCACAAACACCTTCAATCACTAGTACAGTTTTTTTTACAAGATATGTAAGTCATGGTTGTATCTTTAATTGTTAATCTGTTAAATTTAAATCATACCATTTCTATCAGCTATTTATTCAGATTCTTAATCAACTTATGCATGCAATTATAACTTAAAATTAAATATAAAAAACTGAGCACTCATTTTCAAGAAATCACATGACTTTCGTGTACAGTAATTTCAATCAACAAATGACCAAATTATTTGTTCAATCAACAAATCTATCTGCTCACTATACAGAACATAAAAATATAATGCCACAATAATGTTTGCAAATGAGAGGCCATTCAGCTTATTGTTTCACATATTAATATAACATTTAAAATTGACATTACATTATTCACTCAATGGGTTGCATAATACAAAACATGAGACTTTTACCATCTGCCTGTGCTTCATTTTACTTCATGACATCTGCATACCAGAAAGTAAAAATCAATTTAATAATTCTATCTTTTCTTGCAGCTCACTTTAAATCAGTGTTTGAGCAACAATAAACCTTTCGACAGGGTACATAATAAGTCATACCAAGAACTCCTAACTGCAGGAAGTTTCAAAGATTCCTTCAGGATTTATCAACCATTACAAGTCAGAAATTAGCTGTAAGTATGGTACATTACTCACATATCGCATATGAAGGGAGTGCTATAAGTCATATAATTGTCACACAGATGGTTCTCACTTGTATCTTCCAAGTGGTAGAACTGGTGACTAATCCAACATTACCACTTTCAAACAACCTGTTTTTTAATCCTCAGTGTATGTGTGCAATAAGCTACAGGACAATAAACAAAAGCAGACACGTAGGAGGGTTATTTAAGTATACTCAGCTCAGTGATATACACACTTTAAGTGAACACAGATGTTGAGACCATGCTGTGAAGCAGATGTAAGAACTGTCTTGCAGAGCAGGAGTTTTCTAAGGAATACCAGACATTTCAGATGCCAGGTTTCATTGAAGAACGACTCTCATTGCTGTTTGTGAAATGTAAGGTTTACTTAAAAGCTTTAGTGAAAATGACAGCATCCAAAACTATGTACAGTAACTATGTCTTACAAACACAGATTAAATTACAACACTAATATTTACAGTATGTTAACATATTTTATTTAGGTGCCTATATTGTTTTTTTCAGCAGACTGATTTAAAACATGCAAGTATGTTGTATTTGAATATACAGATTTTCTGCTTAAAGATTAAAGCTGTACTTCAAATAGTTTGAATATCACACAAAGCCAGAAACCGGGACTTTAGGAATGACCTATAACCCATTTATAGTATGTGTTAGTTGTTAATGAATTATGAATTGTTTATGAATTGCGCATTTGTCTTAAAGAAATTATACATTTGTTTGACTTTTTTACTCACTAATCAAATATCAAAATAAATAATATAACTAAAGGCCTATGTAGTTTAGTGCAGTATAAGGTGGACAAATTTGATACTTAGACATTCACAAAGCATACACACTTCATGTCCTGCATGTTACTGTATGTTATCAGATTAACAAAACCAGCAGTCCAATTACTGCACTACAGGAGAGAATTAGAAAGAGTGTGATTTACAAGAGACCAGCAAGTTTGTCATAATGGTCTGGT